ATGTACTATGAGTTCAGGGTTCAATGGTACTTTGATAGGAATATAATTCGAAAGAATAAGACGCATTTAGTAATGATGAAAAAACTATGGTTATACTTAAGTTCTTTCTTCAAATTATAATTTAAAAGGGCGGAAAAAATAATAATTAACAAATATCTGGAAGACGCTTGTTGTAAAAAACCGAAAAAGATTTTGGATGCCCGAATGAAAGATAGAAAAGAGGGGAAAAAATAAATGAATTTCAACAACTTCGGAAGAATAGCTACTCATAAAAAAAATGAAGAAATGACATTGAGCCTACTATGGTCCGAAGGATAATGACGGTATTAGATCGAAAGGCAAGTTCTTTGTCAAACTTCTATAGAAGATGCTCAAGGTACGCCCATTGTACTTGGCGATCTAAACGGAAGAGTTGGGAGGAAGAGATGCAGTCAAATTGGATGGGAGAATCAAAAAAGAAACTTCTCACCTAGCTATATACTTCAGAAAAGGATTGCAATTTCATTGACGAGCTAATTTTATAATGGGATATAATAAAACTATGAAACTACTATTACAAAACGGAAATTCTTGGTTGATGTTTAATGGCCAAAAACCTATTTAAAATTTGACAAGAAAAAAAAAAAAAATTAAATAAATATAAAGGAAGGAGATGGTCCGGGGTGGCGGTCATAAATAGGCTAAATAGTTAAAAGCCTGGTTTTTAATAAAATAGTTTTACCATTATTTAGCCTATTTATGACCGCCACCCCGGACCATCTGCTTCCTTTATAATGCAACGGTCAACTATTAAACATTCAATTAAATAAATATAAATAGCCCGTGGTACCCCTTTTTATCGAATTATTAACATCCGCCTGAAACTTCGTAAATAGTTTCATCTCATCGTAACCTACAACAATTTTATTTACGAAAACTCTTAGAATTGGGACGATTTCAATATGGAGAGAGGCACACTTTGTCTATTTAATTAGGTACTAAAAATTCGTATTTTACACATTTCCTTTCATTTTCACATTTACTTGGATCGTAAGATAATTCGATCACAAAATCGAGAAAAATGGCAGCCTTCAAAAATATTGGACCATTTGTCATATATAACCTCGTTATTTTGAAAATTTGGGGATGTAGTACGCCAAGCGGCTCGATATTTTTGTAGGCTACCCTTTTTCTCGAATTTCTAACCAAATTATCTTACGATACAAGTAGAAAACAAATGTGTATTTACGAGTTTTTAGTACCTAATTAAATAGACAAAGTTTGCCTCCCTCCAGATTGAAAACGCCCTAATTTCAAGAATTTTCGTAAATAAAATAGTTGTAGGTTACGATCCGATGAAGTTATTTACGAAGTTTCAGCCGGATGTTAATAATTCGATAAAAATGGGTCTATACCATGGGCTAATAGCTACTAAATGTTTTTTAATCACACGTACAAATTAAGGAAAAATATTTTATCTGAATAAAATTAGTTACATAATTTATTTAATCTAATAGCATAATGAATATTAAAAATCATATATCATAATTGGTAGTATTAATTAGATAACCTCTTATAACCTCAATTTTATAGATATTAGAAAAGTTTTGAAAAAAAGAGACACCTTACCAAGACAGAACGCGATAATGTGAGTGGGTAAAACCGGCGACCCCTATGCTACTGAATTGACCCGCTTCAAAGATAACTTTCCTTTTGAAGATAAATCAGTGGTATCAATAGTTCCAATTGTACCAATCTTTATTCATCTACGTTCCTTAAAGAAATTGTAGTATTTTTTTTTCTTCTTTTCTTATCAATTATATATACATATATATATATATATATATATATTTTTTTTTTTTTTTTAAATATAGTCACTAAGGTGATAAGAGGAAAGCTAAAAATAGGAACAGAGTAAAAATAACGAAGGTTAGAATAAAAAAAAAAACGCTGTTATAATTAGAATAACAACAATTTAATGACATAACCGCATTAGTAATTTAAGTTAATACTATTTGAATTATCAGTGACTGATATCGAATGAGATTTTTCAGTTCACCAACAGGTGTGCTTGCTTGAAACCGTAATTGTACGAGGAAACAAATCAATTAAATACAAAATATCGGGTTTTACATATAATTACATATTTACAAACAGACAATATTATCAAGTCGAGCAAATTTATATCACGCAAATTCGAGGAATATAACTTGAGTGAGGCTGGAACAGATAATTACTTTATTCTGTTATACCAGCCGCGGATCGACCCTAGGGTCAGATGATCATCCTTAATCCGACCCAGCCTCCATTAGGTTGATATCCTCAATTTGAGAAAAATCCCGGAAAAAAACCACGCGATTGAGCGTGAATCGGACCAGATCACATGGCACAACCGTTGAACAAGAAACAGCGATTTCATAGGAAGAACTGACCCAAAGACAAAATGGTTTGTAATGGTAAAGGATTTTACTTATTTATTATACAGATTGATGTGTTTCAAGTTTGTTTGAAAGATTGGTATGCTTAAACAATATTGCAACGCGTTGTTTGCTTGCAACTTTATTATACATAAATACTTTGTAATGGTCATATGCAGATAAATAACAAATAATTTTAAATCACGTTTCGGATACAAAAATGTTCAATCATTGTTTTAAATAATAAAGAATTTTTTTTTAAATCTAGGAACTTCGTGACGATCAATAAAAAAGTAAAGAATACAAACACGATAAAACCGTTCGGAAGATTTTTCTAAAATCTTATTAATGTGGATTTTTTTTAAGTTGGACGAAAGAAGTTAACATTCGAAGTGAAAAATAGACTTCTAGGCTATTGACATTAAAAATCATACTTTTTAAAAAATCAATTAAAAAAAGAGAAAGAGAAAAAAGGCTAAGCGCAGAAATAGAATATTCCGAACCAATAAAAATTTAATTATTTTGTTTATCTTTCACTGTTTTATTATCATTTTCTTTTTGTTTTGTATCATTAAAAATTGAAAAAAAAGAAAAGTAATTGTTATATAATTTAACGGAATCAAGTTAACGAAATTTTTCTCATTTTTTTATGTCGTCATGAGTGAGATTTTTGAACTATTGAATTTATTGTTAACAATAAAGGAAACTATGTTGCCCTCATCTGTATATTATTTATGATGATGTAACTATGGTCATTAGTATTTTTATAAATGAAATTAAACATCATTTCAGTTATTGCGGTCAATAAGTGCTCATTGTAAATTCTTATACATAACAACTCGCATTATAAGCTAATTTAATGCATTCCCAAGTCTGTAGCGCACTACACTTGATTCTTTCATAGTATAGTGATATAAATTTTGGAACTTCATGAATTCATAAATACAAAAGTAAAAAAAAAAAAAATATCAAAGCTATTTTTGGGAAACTCATATTTTAATTTTAACAATTTAAAAACCTAAATATCTAAATAATCTAAATACAACAGCAGTTTTTGATAACATAGCCTATTAAAATATAGTCCGTGGTACAGACCCCCTTTTTTATAGAATTATTAACATCCGGTTGAAACTTCGTAAATAACTTCATCGCATCGTAATCTACTAATATTTTATTTACTTGTTACTGAATACGCCTGGGAATTGAGGCGTTTTCAATCTGGAGGTTGGCAAACTTTCTCTATTTAATTAGGTACTAAAAACTCTTAAATACACGTTTGCTTTCTACTTTAATCGTCATCATCGTCATAAAAAACAGATCTTAAGCACAAAGTCGAGAAAAATGGCAGCCTTCAAAAATATTAGGCCGTTTGGTATATATAACCTCGTTATTTTGAAATTTTGGGGGTCTAGGATCACGCCAAACGACTCAATACTTTTTAATACCACTTTTTTTCTCGATTTTGTGATCAACGTATCTTACGATTAAAGTGGAAAGAAAGTGAAAAGAAAATGAGTATTTACGAGTTTTTAGTAGCTATAAAATAGACAAAGTTTGCCGACATTTTTCGTACTCTAAACAGATAAAATTTTAGCTTTAAGTAAAAATCAATAATATTTCCACGAAAATTGGTCTAGAGTATATATTTTAAATTGTTTAGGGACAAAATATTTCTTAAATTCACTTATTTATAGAGCAATCGGTTATATTTGTCTAAATAATTTATTGCTCTTGAATGCAGTGGATTATATAAGACGATAAAATCAATTTGAAAATATTTACATATCCGATATGATATAATAACGCTTTAGATTTATAAAAAAAAAAATATTCAATCTGTATCCGTAAAATTATAGTATTTTTAGCTTTTCCTTCTTTTGATATGACTGTACTTATTTTCCATAAAAATGCAATTTTATGAATTTAATTACTTGACTTCTATATATTTAAACCGATATGAAAAAATATGTACACACGATAAATGATTTATTTTTAAAAATCTTCATTGTATGTATGAACACATACAGTCCTAATACATGTTGCCCTTCAATAAACTTATTTATGTATATATGTATATATTCAATGAACTTGTTACCAATTAATTAAAATCTTCTAGTTGAATAAATAAAACTTATTTTAATTAATATAAATTGTTTTTGTGCTAAATAATTGTTATTTTGCATTTACAAGAACAGTTTCAAATTCATTTAATTACTAAGCCAAAAATGTTTATACATATTTATTAAATAATGTATTTTATATTCTGAGATTTATTTCTTTTTCTTAAAGGTCATAGACATAAATAAAATGACATGAAGCGATGTTAAATAGTTTTTTACTATTGAGAAATATTGCTTTTTGACAGATCATTTATTTATTTATAACAATCAGCCTTAAAGATTATCAATATTTTTCGAACATTAATGATACACAAATATGACTTAAATTGATGACTGAATAAAAATTCAGGAATCCGTGAAGAATTTATTGCAAAATAAAGTAACTTTAAACGTTTATTTAAGTTTTACTATGCATTGATAATAATTATGTAAACTATAAAACGTAAACTTACGATCGCTAATTGATGGAGAGGAGACACCCTCAATGTTCGGCGAGAGCTGCAGGAAGCTGACTGAAGGAAACCCCCACCGCCGGCGGCTATATCTCGCAGAGGATCACGTGAGGCTGCGTGTATCAAACTTTAGTGTCAGCGGTCAACACCTATCGCAACGCCCTCATTTATTTTTAAAAATCCGTCCTCCGCATCGCGAGATCTATTCCACAACAATTAGCCGCGTCGAGGAACTCCACTGACGTAAATGGGAGCGGAATTCCACTGATACTGTGGTGACTCAGAAGGCGCTATCGAGCGGGATTGGACTTCAGAACACCGTTCAGTGCAATGGTCCAAACAAATAAGTTATCTTTAATCGAATAATGCATACGTTAATCCTTTCGTAACTATACATTATCAAAAAAAGGGAAACGTCGATGACAAACAACGTGCACTTTACACTATTAATGTTATTATTATTTCACATTTAGTAAGCAACTAACTAAAGATTAAAAAAAAAAAGGATTAAAACGTGGATTAAAAATTTGAAATTCCTCCCTCCCTCTCCTGCAGACCGAAAAAAAAAACCGGAGAAACTATTCTACACGCCTGCAAAATTTATAAGTTTATCAAATTATTATTTTTATTATTTCAAAATTATGTAAAACAAGAATAATTAGAAATTTCGGACTAATGGAATTATCCTCGAAATCAGAAAGCTGGAGAAGAACTTCGTACTGAATTAAACATGATCACGAACTTGAAACTACACTGCCTCTGATAACTGTAAGATCTAGCTGTATACAGTATAAGATTTACGCATGAAATAAAAATTACATTTTTAAAATGTATTTATATTATACAGCAGAAAGGAGTAAACTAAAAATATTCAAAGTTGTAATATTTGGATTCAAATAATAAAAATGAAAGTAACCGCTTTAATTTTGATTGCTAACATCATTATAACAGCACCCCCAAGGGAGTCTTAAGTCAATCAAGAGAGAAAGAAGAGGATACCCAGCTGATCTGTAATGAGAAGGTCCTTGAAGTTGTACAGGATTTTACAGTCTTTAGCGATAGAGGGAAGATTGATAATGGAATAGCAAATAAGATTTTCAATTACAAACCAGGTTTATTACTCTATTTATAGCAGTGCAGTAGGGAACAGAGATGTTTCTAAGGATAAAAGACATATATGAGCCTTCAGTTGACCGAATGAGTAATTCCAATTTCAACATTTTTAATTATTAATCTAAGCGATATTTCTAGTGGGAAAATGTATACCTTTATTCACAGTTCTATGTTTCAACACTCCAATCACCTCTTGTGGAATCAACTTACTGCCTGTACATATATTATAAATATAACTAAAATGACTTTACATAAAAATGTGTTAATTGAAGTTAGTCATTCTGTCAATTGAAGTCTGTGTACTTCCCAACCCGCACTTAATGTGAGTAAAAGTTGGGTTGTGTTAGACAAGCAGGCCTGTCACCTCCAGCAGGCCGTTGGAATGACCAGAAGGGACCGATTCAGGAATGAAAAGATAACGGAGGAGATGGAGCTAAAGACCTCGCTTGAAAATCCACAGCTGATGTTGTTTGCTCACGTTTGTCGAATGGAGGATGAGAAAGAACTATGTGAAAAGCAACGGAAGATTCGAATTACTAAGATACCACAAGGGTTATCTGGGTTATGAAGACATACCGGATAGATCCTACAAGAAATTATACAGCCTAACCGAGATCGAGAAACAGCTTCGTCGGATTAAATCTCCTCGACGCAATAAATGGCATGAAGAAGTAGACAAAGAAAAATATCTTTATATTAAAGATTTCTTCATGGACTTCTATTTGGAGAACCCTGCTCAAAAATAGCAGTTTTGAGGTTACATCGAAAAAGATAACTAAATTGAATCCAAAACCTTTTTTAACTACTTTCTTAGTAGCTAGAGAATACTGTGTATACAATAATGAAATTCGGGAAAATATTGTTTAGAAAAACAAAGGGTTGTTTGTCGATTATGTATTAAACAACAAACAGAATGAAAGAGCTAAAATCATACTCAGCCAATGCCAACGCAAGGAAAAAACGTTAACATAATCTCATAAAACTTTTACTCAACATTGAAGGGAATGGCAATATGACTTAGCTCAAGGATTTCATAGCAGGGAAAAAGTAATCGTTGCTCGTTCGAAGAAGCTTAACCTGTGATAAAAAAAACAAGCAAGGTCATGCACAAACTTATCAAATTTAAACATTCACGATAAAAAAAAATATCACAGGATACTCTCCTGATTCATATTTAATTTGACGTAACAACAAAGTACTTTAAAAAACAACACGAAAAACCTCTTTCAAGGACAAATCACGTTATTTAATTAAACTTACTTTTATCCTGCGGAAAGATACAGTAAACAGATCTCTTAAGAATTGATATTTGTCAAATAATTAATGAAGGATATTTAGAACAAATGTTTCACGCACACACGCACCCATGCTGATTCTTAACATCTAAAAACAAAATAATTATTTTTAAAAAAATATTGAGCAACTGAAGAAAGCCTCTAATGTCAGAAAAAATATACTAAGATAACTCATGTCATAAAACACAGGTAGATTAGAAGAACAAAAAAAGAATACACCAGATAACAACAGAAATAGTTTTGAGAGCTTGCAACATTTGTAAATGCACTTTCGTAAGGTTTTGTGAAATAGCCAAATGATAGGAATTCTATTACTAGAGCTAAGATAACTTTTTACCATGAATACCAAAACCTCTTAAACAGAAGTTTCAGTAATATTTTTGTGGCATCCCATACCATTGTAAATTTGCAATAAATTAAGCAAGTAAACAAGATGATCCAGAAACCCAATATTTTGTATAAACACGATATACTACCGGACTAAACTTTGTAAATTCAATAACATATTATAGATAAAGAAATTAAAGAAAAATCTGGCGCGCGCATCACTCAATTTCCACATACTGCTGTAATTAGAACAGATATTCTTGTCTGACAAAATTGGGCTATTACAAAATGTTTTTGAAGCGCGTTTTTTAATGGAGCTAAATTTTAAAGGACATGTTTGTGAATTTGGGTTATATTCATCAATTCAAAAACCACTTAAAGCCATCAAAATAAAAAAAAAACTTTATATTAAAAAAACTTATATATTAACTAAAAAACTAATTTATCATATCACATGTAGGCATCCATCAGTCTACTTGGTCCACCTAACACTAGGCTACGTATAAAGAAAAGCTTGAAAGTATATACACTTAATCTATGAATAAGGATTGCACCAAAGGAAAAAAATATAGGTATTAAATCTCTATCACTGTTTTTTACATATATTATATTTACATATAGGCGATGATGACCTAGATGTTTTGCACCTAAAACATCAAAACAACAAACCATTTATTCAAACTCTTATTTTTTACCCATGGAAAATTTACCAATATACGATTAAGAGCTTTTCAATGTAGGATCGATAGGTCAAAAACCGAGAACGAAGAAGTGTATAACAACGAGATTTCACAGAAGGTAATTCATCAAACTATTCAACAATTTAATTTTCTAAAATGTTCCTTAATGGTTTTTGGAATAAATCGACGATATATACCTAATTTTTTTCACATGCAGGCAAGAAACACACACCATTTTGCGATACTTGGTTATTTGATTTAAAGGATCTCAAATCGCGTATTTTCGTTGAAAACTCGGATTTGAAATTTTTCACGACCGCAATACGTTCGTTTACTATATATTGCATGTATATGTAGGAAAATTGAAGTAAAAAACATAAAAAAATAATTTAACTTTTTTAAAAATAAACGTGTTACTTTTGATCAATCATAGTGTAATTAAATACTTATTAAACATACCATTTTATCTTTGCCTAATAAAATCTACGTGATCTTGGCCACAATAAGACGCCGCCAATCTGTCTTGCGCGACCACCTTCCAGTTTCTTACCCCGACCAGATTCCATCACTGACTGAGCAAGAGAACTCGAGAAGATGTGGAAGATAATGAAGACATGGGTTGCAGCTCCACGTAGGTTAAAAAATTAATATTAATTATTTATTAAATTAAAAGACGGAGTGAAAGTAACTGATTGAATAAGAAACTACTTAATGTTAATACGTTTATTTATTAAAAAAAGTTAATTGATTAGGGTATTTTATTTTTTGTATCGGCAAGAGATTACTATCTGATGATGACCCACATGTTTGGGTTGAAACGTCGGCACCAATAAAAACTTTATAATCACTGCGTCCTGAATATTTAACACCCATTTAAATAACTTTTTAGCTTAATTTCTTTTCTCTATATCATCTTCATTTTAACGTCACTGAGTTGTAGTCTAGACTGACAAACTAAACAAACATGGCTATTGGAGCCGAAACGTTAAAAAATATTTTTTTAAATATTGTAATAAAGGACTGTAAGATTAAAAAGGGTTTTATAAAAAAATAAAATCGCATATATATTAAATATATAATTAAAGGTATTACTGAAAATGCAAATTAACTAAAATTGGTGCAAACCACCGTATTGCAAGATCCATCTGTTCCAAGTTATTGTGTTTACATATTACAGAAGCGATTGTGACAACTATTATTTATTTAAGGATATCGGAACAGAGGGAATGAGGAGTGATCGGCATGCACGAGATATGTGTAACCGCATGATGGCGATAAGATAACGTAAAGAATCTCCAACATCCTTATTTTTAGTTTTTTCATCTTTGCGTGTTTTATATATCTATTGGAGTTTACTACTAGTGATTACCGAAAAAAAAAGTAAAAAATCAGATCGAGCAAATGGCAAATGACTGTCAAAAAAAAAAAAAAAAAATTACGGTTTTCAAGAAAGCACAATAAATGTTTACTCAGTCAATAAACGGTATGTTTCTTACATATGATTTTAAACATTACGATTACGACAAGATTTACTTGATGAACGCTCTAAAACCTAAAAATTTCCTTTATCTTAATACTACCACATCTGTTCGGCCATAATAAATTGAGAGCCTCGGAGGTTCTCAAAATCATAAAATTCAAGACTAGACACTCTAACCTGGGAGATTTAAAATGGCAATAGAACCGTTAAACACATGATTCAAGACAGCTCTAGATTTTATTTTTATTTATTTTATTTACAAAATGTTCAGGGCATTTCAACTAATAGTATTACTCAAATTACAAAAATAAAGATGACAAATACATATTTTATCAATAGTTTGCAGT